CAATACTGTATCATGACATTAAACGATACCATATATTGATATTTCGATATTTTTGCACACCCCTAGTCATGGAGACAAGCAGGTAGCGGACCCTCCACCAGAAAAGTTGCACAGTGCGCCTAGAGACTGAAGCCTGCACTCAAGTCTGCCCAAATACGCCAAATCTCGAGGTGTTTTAGTGACACTTGCTGGTGAAAAGCATGTACTGCATCAAACTGCCTTGCATAAAATAAATAAATAAATAAATAATTTAAAAAAAGGCCTAAAGTTGAAAATGCAGTCATGGCCTATTTTGAGAAGTCTTAATTAAGCCTAAATGTTCTAGAGGACGTGTCATGGACCTCTAAAGTTAATCAGATTTTGCTCCAGTCACTAATCAACAATGGGTAGACTGTTTGGGCTCATTTAGCTGCACATATAGCCAGCAAACTGATTAAAAAAAGACTAACATTTACTCACGCGTTGAGTTTTAGCTGTGTGTGTAATTTTTGGTAGCAGTTTAATCTACTCAGGAATCATCACCACTGACAACATCTGGATCCTCAGGGCCCACGGGAAGGATGGCGGGAAACTCACCGGAAGTAGGCTAACAAGCGTACCAAGGTGCAAATTCCTACATTTATTTCAAGACATAACTACGTGTAAAAGACAGTACTGTTCTTTACACGAGACACTATATCAGACGTACCTGTTTACCCGGGACAGCCCCAGTTTTGAGCCTTTGTCCCTGCAGATTTATCCAAAACCACTGATTTGTCCCAGTTTTATATAAGAAATGTCCCAGGTGTCCCTATTTTTGACTAGTTTCGTACCTACCAACAGTAAGAGGCATAAACTGTCATATGTTTAGCTAAAATACAAAAAGCTGCTTAAAAACGACCAAAACACAAAGAAAATGTGACTACTGAATGGCATGTAAGTCATGAAAGGGGCGAGTGCAGAACAGTTTTCCTTAATCACACACTTTTATCATTACAAACCACCAAAAAACTGGGAATGTCCCCGTTTTTTTTTTTTTTTTTTTTTTTTTTTTTTATTCTGGTCACCCTTTTCTTGAACTTTATATTGCACTGCATTAAGGCAAGGCAAGTTTTTTCAACACGATTCATACACAAAGTTATTCAAAGTTCTTTTCAGAATAAGAAACAGATTAAAAATCACAATAAAAACAAATCAACAAATAAATAATATCATAAAATTAAAAAGAGACAGAGACATTAATTACGTAAATTAGAGAGAAGTGTGCGGAATGAAGGCAAGGCAAGTTTATTTGTATAGCACAATTCGTACACAAAGTAATTCAAAGTGCTTTACAGAATAAGAAATACATTAAAATCACAATAAACAAAACATAAATAATCATGAAGATTAAAATTAAAAAAGAGAGACATAAATTGGAGAGAAGAGTGCGGAATAAAACCTTTCAGTCATATGCACATTAAAAGTATGCAATCTCTGATGCTCTTTGTATGTCAGTGACAATAACTCTTGAATGTATTTGATCCACAATGTATAAAGTAGTGTACAGAGTCTGTCTAACCGCAGTCCCCGAAGATAAAAAGGGAAATTTGTGATTATACTGTGGACTTAATATCGCAGCGATGCACACTTTTGTCCACAAGATGGCAGCAGCAGTCTTACTTAGGCGAGTCTAGACTAGACCGCTCAAACAGCTCTTGATTACAAACTATTAGGACCTATTGTTTCTAGTCCAAGTTTGAATTTGAAAATATGAGCACATAAATACCTGTGTGAGGCTCCTGTAGTGTCCTCTGCTCCCTGACCCCTGCACGGACCATGCGTGTGGCAGACAGGCGGCAGCAGAGAGCGCTTCGCCTCCGGTACAGGCACCGCCGATCCGCCCGGTGAGGACCGCAGACATCTGTTTCTCCAGTGACTTTCTCCCGCTTTGCTGCTCGGTGTATGCGTGCACGGGCATAGCGATGATTAGGCTAATCATATGAATGTAAAGATGAATAAATTACTGAAACTAATGCGTGTTACGTGCACTGAGGCTATAAAAGCACAGGCCTAAGTTATGTGGCTTTTAAAACTATGCCTATATCTGGTCTGTGATAGATTAAGGCCTGTGTGTGTGTGTGTGTGTGTGTGTGTGTGTGTGTGTGTGTGTGTGTGTGTGTGTGTGTGTGTGTGTGTGTGTGTGTGTGTGTGTGTGTGTGTGTGTGCGTGTGTGCGTGCGTGTGTGTGTGCGCGCGCGCGCGTGTGTGCATGCCGCTAAGGATTGCAAAAATAAAATGTTTTCTTCTCCTTACTTTTCCTGCGCCAAGGTCAAGTAGATAAAATCACGTTTAGAAAACAGAAGTAAAATGCAGCCAATCAGAAAAGTTTTGCTGCAAAGTCAAGCAGAGAATCAAGAGCAGTCTGCTATGTAACAGAAAGTGCTCAGAAGGACAGGGCCCATCTTGTCACAAAACACCACTTATTTTCCAGTGATTACAGTTAAGTATCTAATGGAGCATCATGTGGTTCAAACTGAAGGCCTGACTGTAAATGTCACTACATTTGAGTTTGCCTCAAGCATTTTCCCATGTGCTCTTGGTTACACAGTTCATGTTTAACTGCAGGGCCAAACTTAGAAATCTAAACCACAAATGACAAATCCAGCATCCAACTTGTACAGCCTGTTTCTGAGGTCACTGGGTTTATTTCTGACTTGAGGTGACGTTTATTTCTCATTTAGTGGGCCTATTACAATTACCATCATAGCAGGCCTTTTTGGAAAGCAGCATGAATTCGCTCAAACGTAGAAAATGACTACAACATACTTTAAAAATAAGTTTATATCCTGGAAAATATTTTGAGAACACCATATCCAGCACTGTCATTGCTGAACGCATTTGAATTGTGTGGATCTGTTTATACTGATCAAAGCTGAGACTTCTGGCCTCCTGCTTTGATCATCTATGCATAGTTTCTGAGCACTTTCTGAAGTCATCCCCATGTCAAACTCAAATTCACCTCACAATACAACGAGGTCTTCTTTCAGGACAGTAGAAGCTGTTAATACAAATGTGAAATCAAAACATTTGCCATCACAGTATTTTCTATATGTGCATGTTTATTAATGTTAGTAACTTTTAACCTCATATTGTTAAATCTTGTTAAATATATATATGTGTATGGGACTAAAATCTGTATACACACTGGTCATGGGTATCTGGGGACATGGGGAAAAAATCTATTTTCCATGACTTAAATCAATAAAAATGATCAGATCATCAACATGGTTTTAAGTTCAGTTAAGGTTAACGTGACCATAGCTTAAGGTTAAGACCAGCCTCCATTTATGTCAACGAGAATGAAAACAAAATGTCATATTCAGTGTTTAATAAAGCAGTTTACAAGACACAGAATATATGATCATTGGTAGTTATTTGTAGGGATTTTTTTGTTTTGTTGTTTTTTTAATAAATATTGTGAATTTACAGGTACGACTAAATTATAAATTGCAGATTATATTGTCTCTATTCTCTGTATTTGATTATTTGGTGTGTTTTAATGTTCCCATGTCTGATAAACACTTTAGTTTTGTCTGGGTTGTTGCAAAGTGCTCTGTAAATAAACTTTGATAAATTGATTGGAGGACTGATAACTGCATATAATTAGAATCAGGAAACGCTTATTGTTACATTTCATTTTATATTAACAGTGGATGTTAGTTCCTATAAGAAAAGCTATAGAATGTGTGACAATGGCGTTCAAACCAAATTAGTCATGGCTTAACTCTGCGCATGTAATCCGTTTAAATGAACAACAGATAGGAGCAGTTACATTTCACATATGCACAATACAATGGACACCATGTCATAGATGATCTTTGCTGTCTTGAAGCATAAACACAAGGGCTGCGCAATTTGGAGGAAAAAAAATACTCAATTTGCAATCAAATCTTTCTACCAATATTTGCAATTGTGGTCAGATTTTCAATTTATATTTAAAAAGTAGTCAGTTCTGTTCAGAGTGCACAATGTAAACATGTCCAAGAACAATAATATTTGGGAAAAGACTGAAATCTGAACTGACAAAATAATACAAGAATACAATGCATTTCAGAACATGTTTGTGTATGTCTTTAGTACAAGATTTTTTTTATGAAGATAGGATATTTTGATATTTGAGGACGTTCTATAAAATAATGGCAGCCTTGGTGATTTAATAATTGTGAGAACTGAAATTGCGATTTTGATTCAATTGCGGTATTTTGTGTAACCCTAATAAAAATATACATGTTTCTGGGTATCTTTATGGAGCTGTGCGATCATAGATAGGATCATAGAGAGGACAAGTGCATGATGGGAGTGGATGTAACTCTGTAGAACTGGTTCAGCTCAGCGTTTTGTTTCTGTATCTGAGGTTAATGTTTTCTCTACAACTGCGTGGAGAGAGGAGAGCCAGTGCTTTTTCAGACATTTCTCTGTTGGAGGAATTAGGATGCAGTCTTCGTTGTCAGAGGCGAGGAGCTGTCTGCCACTTTCCCAGCAGCCCTTGGGCCGGTGACAGGGAGATGGATGATATCTGCAGCCTGGTGCACTGCTCCCCCAGCGCTCACAAACACACACACACAGACAGACAGACACACACATACACCGAAAGAGAGACACGCACACACACTGTATTCAGCTTTCAACCAGCACACAAATACACACAAACTCCTACACAACTCTCTTCCTATTTCCTTCACTCCAGCAGGAAACTGACACGAGGAAACAGTATTTGTCTAATACACCTCTCTCACTGCCGTCAGCAATAAAACCAATATTCCACATATCAGGGGAAACACAGGAAAACACTACGAATGTTTGCCGATGTTTACCAAGAATAACCAGCCTTACACAATGCTTTTGGAAATGTTATTTATTGAAATTACCAAAAAATATCTGCAATTTATTCATTTATATCAACACCAAAATATATCAGAATCAGAAGTTTTATTACAACAAAATTCACAAACTTTTTTTTTGCTTTGGCGAAATGGTGCAAGGTAAAACAATGAACAATAATATTAAATTTGAAACTATGCTGTAGTTTTTTTATGTGGGTTTTTTTATTTTTTTTTTTTACATGTTTTATAGTGCACTTTGAGCTTCTTGCACACGTTTTCCAATGTGGTTTTTGACTACAAATAAACCAACCTAACCTAAAATAAAAGCATGCATTAAATAAGGTGTTAAATAAAAATAGATTTAAACATATATACTTAACACGTAGGCTATATAACAAACTGCAGATTACACACATTACTGTAACACAAGCATGAGTAGACTATAAGTATCTGGGGTACAGTATGTGAGGGATGTGGGGAGACTGTTTTAACACTAGTTCGCTTTCACTAATCCGACTCCTCTGTCTGTTCTCATCGTCCTTACCTGCTGTCCCTGCTACGCTGAGATGTTCTTGTATTCAGGACCGAATCCAGAGGCCGTGTCACCTGAGCAACGCCGACCGCATACTAATCAGCACCAGGAAAGACCCCAGTGTGTCCCGCTCACTGCCTGAAGGAAAAGCTTGGGCCATTGTTTTTGCCTTCCTGCAAGTAAGAAAAGAGAGTTAGAGTGAAAATGGTGCACAGATGAGACAGACGCAGGGGCAAATGAGGCAAAAGGAGAGAGAGAGAGAAGAGAGGGAGAGGAGGGGTGTTTGGGGGGGCATCCATCAGTGTTTTAAGTGACTGCAGTGGGCCGAGCCAGAGGAAAAGGTCGTGTGGTCTCTGTGTGCGCAGTGGGCACCTGGGCAGAGCAGAGCCTCCAAATGACTCCAGGCTAATGATGTGGCCCAGACCGTCTGTTACAGCACACAGACACTTTTACTTTTACTGACTCACCAGCCAATGCAGTGCAAACACTCACTCAAATTTTATCAAGGAATATGTTAAAATACAAATCAGCTTCTGGGGTGTCATTGGTCTTACCTTTTACTGTGACAGACACTGGCAGAGCCTCATAGACCTAAAAGATAATAATAGTCATTTAGTTTGTGTGGGACAAAAGGCAAATTCAGCAGAGGGATTTCACAGATTTAATACTGTTTTCAGTTTGGCTGCTCTTTTTCTCATGTGTTTCTATGCAGGATATACACATGTGGGGATGAAGGGTTATCCCCAGGAACACATTAACAGAAAGCAAAACCGTGCACCCTCTGGTCTGAAGGCAAAGCCCATATTTATGTAAAAATATGGACCATAAATATGAGCTTTGCAGAGGGATGATGTGAACCAGACCCATTCATTTGCCCTAAATCTGTAATTTGAGACAAAAGCTTTAAAGTTCCGGTATGACTTATCTCAGGACTCTTTTCCTAGATCCCTGGTGACTAAGGGGTTAAAAGCTTTTGTGGCAATTCAGGACCAGCCATAGGTCACATCTGAGTCCAACCACTGGACAGCCAACCTGCAAGACAGAGCTTAATTATCCCAGCCAGTTACAGTTCAATAACTCCATCAAGCTGCTAGCCAGATAGCAGGTTTCCCTAGCAACGCCTCCGAAGTGAGGCACAGATCAGAGGAAGAAGGGGAGATAACAGACCCATGTTGGGAGCAGAGCCAGAGGAGTGAGGGGGTCCTCCCTGGACTCATAGACCTTTACACTGGGCACTGGGGGCACACACGGCTCCTGTTGGCCTCTGTCCGGCTGCAGCTTTGTGTCGCTTTTCAATCAGAGACGCTTTATACAGCTCACAGGCCTATGGGAAAGTCTGCCCCTTTTCAGCGCTCCCCCCAAAGAGTTACTTATCATCCGTAGATTCAAATAATAGTCACACTTTTTATGCTGTAAGTGGCACGATTTTCCCCATAAACAAACTAGTCCATTGAAAACCTGAGGACCGGTTGAGGCACAGGTGTTTGAGAGCGTTCAGGTGGCTGTCTGGCCTCCTGCCGCAGTGTCTGGAAACTCAGACACCCCAGCCCCCCGCCTCCCCCCCGCCCCGCTCTGCTACAGCTATACCTGCACCCTCCACCGTGATAAGGGATCTATCTGCTCCACATCCACCTCACCAGAAAACCCCTGACAACCCATGCCAAAAACGAAAACAAAACAAGCTCTCTAGTTCACCAAAAACATCCGATTTCCCTTTTCGGCTCAGACGTGGCCCAAATGCGCAAGAGACCATTAATCTGTCCATACTAGCGTTATCGGCCTGTGTGGCGGGCTGCTGTGTTACATGACCACCTCAGAACAATAGGGTGTAATCTCTGTCACACACTGGAGCCTTTGGTTTATCTGCACCTATTCAAGCCCAGAATCAATCTTTCCTGCACCAAGTTACTGAGCAGACACAAGAGGTGGGAGATATATCGAAAAATCAATACTCTCGCAATTGCTATTTTGGAGATATGCAAAATTACAATGTCAAGTATATCGTTTACAATTGAAAAAAACATTCGAGAGTTGGTTGAAGGAAGTGATTAAACATAAAATGAACTTGCTGTGTCATCTTTCAGATAAGATTATAAAAGTGGTATTTCTGCATTTTTATGGTTCATTTTACATTCGATACAGATGATAGACAGACAGACGATGGTTTTCAATAATATCTCATTGCATGTATGTATATATAGAATAAAAAAAAATAAATACTGAGATAATTATTTTTGTCAATATTGCCCAACACTAGCAAACACACACTGCGGGCCTGCATTTAGACAACACATTTTAATCATTCTTTAATCTGTATATTAAATAATTATTATAATAATCATTAGTTGTTTAGTCAGTTTTATTGTCAATAGTTACCCATGGCTATATAAATATTTAACCTCAATTTCTAATTTGCATATAGGGCATTAAAGGCCCAAGAACAGGACAACTGTGCAGTTAATTAAATTATAATCAAATTGTGATTCAGTCATTTCTAATTGTCACCTACATGCTTGGGGCTTTTAAAACAAGAATCAAGCATGTGTTGTGTAGCAACTCTGGAGCTGGACATTTGAATATTTTCTGTGTTTAAAAGCACTTATAAAAAGTCTGTATTGTGTATATTCAGAAAAGACATTTTAAGACAAATCGACCAATGAGGGAAAAAAAGTACACTTTTTTTTTTATCATATTCCCCAACCCTGCCTAAGTATCACATGCAGATACTTCATCCTATAAAATGAATATTTGTTACAATCCAGGGCGGTCATTGCATAAATGAACACAGACATTTTACATTTTACTACAGATATCTGGCATGACTTAATGCTTTTTGATGTGAACCTAACTGAAAGCAGATACACCGCAGTAAAAGCCTCCGTACTGGGTGAACTCATCTGACTTTCTTTGCTCAAACTTTGTATTCCCTGTTCAGTGGAGTTACAAACTAGCCAGGAGCTAGCGCCTTTTTACGGGGTGATATTTATTGGCTCCTTGGCGGATAGCTGTGAGCGCGGTGCTTTGTTAGTGCTGGGGGAGCTGAGGATTTCATCAGAGGGCTGGGTGCAGTGTGTCAGACAGAGCCTAATAAAAGTGTCTGGCTGGTTTGTGGGCACCCGCTCTGCTCTGGCTGTGACTGCTCCGCACTTGTCGCACCGCGTTGGTCTATTTGGTATTCACGGGGCATGGCACTTGTTCAGCTGTTGTTGCTGGGGGCTTTGTGCCACATACACACACTGATTAGTTGGCATCGGCATTGTTCACTACCAGACCAAGTGGGAAGACTGGATGAAAAATATATAATTAGAAGAGGGAGACTGGAGACAAGAAAGGAGAAGGAGGGGAGGGTTTCAGAGAGAAAATCAATTGTTTTGAACTGCATTCTTAATATGGGTAATTTGGCAGAAATTAGGTTTTCAGAAACGCATGATGCCTTGGGAAAAATGAAAAGTTTAAAAACCAGGTCAAGCTGTTATAGTGAATGGATTTACACCTTTGAAATACATAAAAGAAAAAGTACTGTTTTGAGGAGGGCTGGTTCTAGCTGATTGCGCTGCTGTATAGACATGCTCATAAAAGACCAATTCAGTGGTTTCATTTTCTTTTCAATCTTGTCTTTTTACCAGCTGTCTACTTAAATTACAATGTATGTTTGAATGGTGTAAAGGCCCATTTTAAATATTGACTTGAACCATTAACCAATTAGGTTGTGACATGTAATGACAATGTGAGGACTCAACACATCATTGAATTAAAGAACCACAAAGTAATGTTCCAGAGCCTGATAGATCTCTGTCAACACACACCCACTCCTCCCAATTTAACTAATGAAACATGTTCAACAATCCAAAACGCCAATCAGAAACATCAGAACTCATCTGTCTCTTCATAGGTATTCAATATAACCCTTGTATAAACAATGTTTCAAGGGTTGAGTTGTTTGTTTGTCAAATGTGATAATAATGTGTTTAACTGATCTACTATACAGACTTCTTAAGTACAGTGTGTAGCTGGTAGGGTATCGAAAATCAGATACTAATCAATATAATTTGAATAGGTATCGATACCATAAAAGTCACATTCACAAGACAGAAATTAACCTTTCCCTGAATAGCTTTAGAATGATCTTAAGACTAAATAGTGTACGCCCCTGGACCACTATGGAACATACCTGGACAACTGAGGAATTATATAGATATAACACTGCATGGTAACATAAAAGCAACAACTATTATATAACGTTGAAAAATTACATTGTACTATATAAAGAAAGAGTGGTTTTTTTTTATTATCATCGTGTAGTTAAAGCATCAAATCTATTCCTTAGTTGATCATTTTAGAATCATAACAACATTGGACAGTCTGGACAGCCCCAGTCTGTGCATGAGGCTGCTGTGGTTCAGACGCACAGCCCCATAAGGGAACATCACACTGGTCCTGATATGTTCTGCAGAGGTGTTGACAGGGGTTAAACACCTGGGAGAGTGGGGTCACAAGAGTCGTATTCTGTCATTTCAAATACTGACGCAGTGTTACTTCTTATACTCTACTGCAACTGTGAATACTTGGAATATAATGCGCTGCTATGACCAGTGACGGCCCTGTGAGTTATGCAAAATGTCGTCATGGCAGTAATTTAAGGAGGAATACAGCTTTCTGACAAACTTGTTTTCTTGACAGCGTCCATTGAAAAATATATAGTACATTTAAAATAATCTGAATTTCAGTTTTGAGTTCTGTCCAAGTCCACCCAAGAAAAGACGATTGTGCCCTCCGCCAGCGTCCCAAGAGCCTAACCCGTGATATTTTATCAAGAGAGCTCACAAGTTAGGGTCTCAGGGAGCAGGTGAAGTACGCCAGTCTACAGAGGAGCCGCAGTCAGCTGCAGGGCACACACACACAGTGCCACTTAAAAGTTCCCCCTTGTGCCCACAGGCAGCCCAGCCAAAAGTCAGAGCCTTTTGTCACACAATGGCTTCATCGGCTTCTATCAAAAGTCAAATGGCGCTTTGCCCTGGACCAGCAGAGAAAAATGCTCCTGGGTTCCCAGTCTTTCATTGACAAATAACTTATTAAACTCAGGCACAGCCGCTAGGGACCTGCGCACAAAAACATGCAGAGGTCGAAATATCTTTATACAAAAGTAAATAGAAAAACGTGAGGCGTCCGTGACAGGTGCAGCAGAATACAAACATTCCAGGTTTAGACAAAAGATCTATTACAAAGCGTCACAAATTCAGCAGACACAACACTCCAGTAATGGTCCAGACAGGCAGGGCTCGACAGACTGTGGCGGCTCTGAGCTAACTAGCCTTTGTGCTGGCACAGGGAAACGTCCAAGACAACCAGCGGAGTCCTCTCTTTGTCCTAAAATGCATTTCTTTTTTTGCATGAAGACCACATCAGATCCTCCACTGGACTGTCCACATGTTTCAATGTACAACACGACTCGCAGATTCAGTATCTGGTTTCAGCATAGGGACATGCAGCGACAGCGTTCCACCACAATTAAAATCAACAAAAATACAACGTTTTGACACTCTCGCTTAAAATCAGTAAAGATAAAAAATACACATTATTTGCTTAACTTG